AGGGCAGCATTACTGTAGGGATATGCGATATTGAGAGGCAGGCCCTCTCATCCAGAACTGTGTTTTAATGGCCTATCTGACCACGGACTAATCATCTCCTTACAAGCGGCATTGTGGGAATCGTCTGTGTCACAGTGCATGTTTCTGATCACTCTACGCACATCTGTCTCCCCTCTTTTACTCTCATCCTTCTCACTTGGTCTATAACTTTTCGTTCAGCTTTCCTCTGCATCCCTCCCCCCATCTCCCAAACCCAACTGCCTAGGCCCATTAGTGTTGGCCAAATTGCTTCCGCATGAAGATTTGTTAATTGTGGTAATTCGGTGGCAGAGAGAACCAATGTTTGAAAGTGCAGAGAACATGTGTCACTGCTTCAGTGGGCAGACGGAAAGGGAGCATCACCTGTGGGGGGGGGGGGTAATCATGGAAATTAGACCACCAGCCTCTGCTGCTACGAGCACTTACACCACATCACTGTCGTACTACCACCACTGGTATAAGCTGTGTGTGTGTGTGTGTGTGTGTGTGTGTCCACACAACTCTATTGGGAGGGTTTCTATGTCAACATCTTGCGCCTGTGTGTGGGTGCTAAATAATCGAATGTCATGAGAGTATTTTTTACATTGTATTAGTTAGTGTGTTTTATTAGCAATGGAAAATGCCACAGTAAATGACAATTAGCAGCACAAAACACAAGCCCTGCTCAGTCAAGAGCCATGCATGTGTGTTAGTACTGGGCAAGGTGCCAGAAGACCTCCTGCTCCTACTTACTGCTTCTACTTCAGCCCTTCCTGACTAAGGAGAGACACTTATTGTTTCTGCATCAGCACTTAATGGCTCAGTTGGCTGCTTTTGGTCTACCCAACTTGTCTATGTCTACCTCATTTTCAGTCAGCCCCCTGGCTGCTGTGGGCCCATTGCCAGACTTAGAGCTTTTAGTACTTTAGATTTTCTTTCCTTCTCTGTCTGACTACTTGCCCATTAGAGTTTGGTGATATTGTACCTGCTCTTGTCAGCTGATCACCATCACACATAAACACCTAATGTAATAATACTTGGCAGGGCCAGGATAAATCTTCACTCATGACTTTAATGTAATTGCATTGCATGGAGATTAGTAAGTAGAACATACATATATTTCACACCAAGAGAAAGACTTCTGCCTGTCAAACCACAATTCAGTGTTCCTGTGTGAATGTCCTGGGTTATTGGCTTAAAGAAACCCCTTTCCATAGCATTAGAATCAAAATTGCATACTATTTCTAAGGTATTATCACACATGTTTTTTAAATGTAGGCTAAAACAAACACTTTACTTCTTGTTTTAAAATGTAACTTGGCCTGGTCTAGGGTTATGAGCAGACAATGTTCCCATACCATTCCTCAAAGCAGCAAGAACAGGACATGTTGGAATGTGTAAAACATGGCACGTCTGCAGATGTCTTGCACACTTACACACACACAGACACTGGGACATGTGCACGCTAACTACTGAGGTATGTAGAGAGCAAAAAAGCAGCCTTCACATCCCATATTGCCCTCTACATCTGTGCTTTCTCTTTTTTATCTATTCTTTCATTATGTTTCTCTCTATCCCTCAGTACTTCTTAACTGACTTTCCATCCCTTCTTCCATTCGTATTTGTTTCTCTCTCCTCCACCTTCAGGATGGTAAATCCAGCTGCCCACTGTTGCCCTCACAGTGTTTGATGGAGTGCTGTAGTCTCTGGCCCCTAGCTGTGTGTTAATGCACTACTTGCACCTGCCCTTGCTGGAGTAATAGCACCACACACGTTTACAAACTCACTCATTCACTCACACAATGTCTGGCTGTAATACACACACTACATACATAAACCAAAGTGGATACCACTGTTAAATCGACAAACTACCAACCATTGTGTTTTTCTTCTTCCTGTGTACCCTACTTTTTATAGTCTAACAGCTGGACAAAACATTGTCCAGACTCCCACCCACACAAAACCTCCATGCAGCAGGTGCACTCTACCCTTTAGGACATCTACTTAAGCAATGTTGGATAGTGATTCCCCTAGTTTCACTTATCAAAGAGTTCATAGAGAAGAGGGAATGGCCCCTGTTGTGCTCCAGATTAGCTTGCACTTTGAGCATCTCCATCTTTTCCAGAAAGAGCGGAGACTCATGGGAACAGTAAGTCTGAGTGGAGGCCTACTCATCCCTGCTGCAATCATACTGTATTTAGTACCCTAATGCAAAAAGCCAAATGGTCACTGGATCTGGAAATCCTCTAAAATGCTTCGCTCTATCTACAGGGGTCATGTTCACTGAGACACAGTCAATAGTGTGTGTGTGTGTGTGTGTGTGTGTGTGTGTGTGTGTGTGTGTGTGTGTGTGTGTGTGTGTGTGTGTGTGTGTGTGTGTGTGTGTGTGTGTGTGTGTGTGTGTGTGTGTGTGTGTGTGTGTGTGTGTGTGTGTGTGTGTGTGTGTGTGTGTGTGTGTGTGTGTGTGTGTGTTTAATTAATTGAACAGGGACAGTGCACATTAATCAACATGTCTGTAAATGTGCCAGAGTTAGCCCAGAGGCTATGTTTCATCTTTTCAAATTTGATAAAAACCGATACAAAAACACAACAAAAAAAACCCTACACAAATTTAGCAATGTATGAGTGGAACATACAGACACACACTTTACCAATTAACAGAACATGAATCTGTGAATTGAACACACTCTGTTCAGTGGCAGGCAGGGAGACATAGAGAGGTATTTACCCTCCCTATCTTCCATTTGATACCTACCTCTCAGACAGCAGGTGAAGAGGTTGCTGGGTAATTTGTCTGCGAGAGGGAGAGAAGGCAAGTCAGTAGTTGTTGTTTTTAGCACTTTCCAGTAATTGTGTAGTTTGAATGTGCTCTGTATGTGAATCCTGTGTGTATCACCACTGTCTGCTGTTTAACATTGAACATCCTTTGAACCTTTAGAGGTGGAAATTAACAACTACAAATACAAATAATATAGCTAATTTCTAAAACAATCTACCCAAATAATCTTTGTTCATGCCCAGTACATATCTGTTTACATCTGTGCCCACTGCTCCTATTACTAGATATTAGGTATCCTGGTATTAGGATGGGTTAAAGCAGAGAACAAATGTCACTGTGTGTGCTGTGTGCTCTGCATGTGTGACCATTAAAGAGGGTTTCAACCCTCCCAATTCTGTTCTATTCTATCTATCTATCTATTGTTACAAAACCTTCACTAAGTTATAGACTCAGTGCCATGGACACTTGTAGGGAATGAAGTGCTATCACTGTAAGAAGGAATCATTCTGAGAAGTGAAGCCTTATTGGAACAGGTGATGTAAGAATTGAATGTGACTCCCTGGGACAGTTCCAGCTCCCTGGAAGAATGTAGCATGTGATGGATGGATCCTCCTCTCCTCTCTCAACAGCCTGTTTGGCACACCACTCCCTAAACTGCTCAGTATCTTAAAGCAAGCCAGCTATTCCTCCCTCCTTCTCTTGTTGTGTTTGAAATAGCCTCTCACCATAGGAATAACATTGACATGTCATAATGGCGAGTTTGTAATCCCCCCACTCCGTTTCATTTTGGAAAAATGGTAGACGGAAGATTCTTCCATGTGCTACCATTTAAAAAAAAAAAAGAGAGAAAATAAAAGCATTTGAGTCTCCTGTGATGTAATGCTGGTGTTAGGTGTGTTGTAGTTGACACTAAGCTGGATACTGGCCTTACTGTGTTGGACATGATTTTGGAAAGATATTCCCTTTATATTGGCCTAATACTCATGCTCCTAATTATTATTATTATTTATTTTTTATAAACCTTTATTTATACAGATAAATCCCATTGAGATCATTGATCTCTTTTTCAAGGGAGACCTGCTCAAGTAGTTCCACATGAAACATAAATAGAACAACAAAAGGACATCAAACAGCATCATTTACATAATTACCCACATAAACAGGTACCTACAGCTTCCGATTGAGTAGCATCCAACCGAGCTTTAAAAACATTTAGTGGCACCAGATTGTTCAGTTTCCATTTAATTTACAGACTATTCCAAGACAGAGGAGCTGCGCATCTAAAAGCTGTCTTCCCTAAAACAGTCCTAGCAGTTGGTACATTTAATAAAACCACAGCATTCGATCTCAGGCAGTAGCCACTTACAATTCTCCGTGAGATCAGGGAGCAGATATAAGATGGAAGTTTCCCTAACATGGCTTTGTATATGAAAATGTACCAGTGACTGAGCCTCCGTACAGTTAGTGAAAGCAAACCAGCCCTTGCATACAGGGTACAGTGATGGGTTAATGCTTTACAGTTTGTAATAGTCTGCTATTTAACTAAACATGTCATTCAACTTTGTAGATTTGCTGGCATCTTGTGAAACATTTAAACCAAGAAGTTGACAATTATATGGTTTACATCTCCAAATGGTTGTTATGAGCTTTACATGTTATCACAGGAAGCTTGCTAAATCCAGAAGGATACAAATACAGATAAAATGTGCCTCACAGATGAATACATATATTGAAATACTTTTCAATAAATAGTATAATATACTGTATATGTATATATAACATATAAATACGGCTGACATAGATAAAAAAACCTCATGTGCAGATAATAGTGTATCATACAGTTTAGTAAAATGTGTTGTTGAGATGGTGGCTTTAGGGCAAAGTTCACTGTTTAACAACATTTTAAGGCTTACTATAATATATAGATGCACTTTTATTTGACTTATTTGTATGGAGTCACACCAACAGGTTAACGTTGGAAACAGAGGGCATCACTAGCCAGAGTTTAGATATATGCGACAAACTCTGTGTGTGTTGGTGATATCTGTGTTCAAGAGCACCTGGTTTCTCAGAACCTTTGGAAACACTGAGAGGGAAAGAAAGGGGTCAAGACCAATTAAAGGCCAATCAAGTGTTTAACGAAGCCACAGCAGCAGTGTTTAAACCTGCCGGACTGCACTTCATTTTTTTTTTTTTTTATTAGGTGTGAAGTCTCCGGGCCCGTCACCGACTCTCGAGGGCTCGGTCCAAAACCTGGAGCTGAAGTTCTGCAGCCGTGCGACGGTGAAATGCGCCTCGGGAACCGTGGGAGCTGTAAAAGTGTGCGCCAGGACCCCAGGTGTGTGCAGCTGTGCCCTGTTAAAACTTTACTGCCTGTGTAGGAGGGAGAGCGACTAGACTATTCTTTTACTTTCTTTAGCTTGTACTTTTATACACTTCACTCTGTCTCTCTCCCTCTCTTTCTCCCGCTCAATCTTTATCTTGATTTCTTTCCAGCTTTGTGATTCAGTTGCTGTTTTCTCCTGAGGCGCTGTCATTGGTCTCTGGCCATGTCTTTAACAGCAAGGATGTTATTGGAGCTAGTGTCATAGCACAGAGTTCACAAGGTCAAACTGAACACATGATGTCAGGCAGATTATAAGATCTATTGCAGCTGTCAATATAGAAATAAGACGGGAAAAAAGCATGTGCAGTTAATTGTCTTGTTTCAAAATTAACATCTGCAGGTGATGTATGAACATATTGTACACATAGTGTTTTTTCAACATATGCATAATATATTAATTTGCCTTTAATGTTTCACTCTTAGGTTCGGGAGAGGGGGTTAAGGAAAAGCTGGTTCCTCTGGTTCAGGGCCCGTCTGACACCAAAGAACTCCATATGAGCCGCTGGCTGAATGAGATCCGCAAGCCTGAATCTTTGTTGGCTCCTGACCTTCTGGTGTTTTCTGTCCAAGTCCCACAGCAAGGAGGCGATTGCAGGAACTCAGGTAGAAGCTTTGTAATGTTGCAACTCTCTCTTTGGAATGCATCTATCATTGTACGTGCTCTGTAGTACATTTTCTTACTCAGCATGTGTGTTTTGGAAATCAGAAATCACCATTGCACATTGATATTTTTGTTTTTAAACTCATTTTCTGGTCGTGGTTTTGGTGTTTGGACTGGTCCCAGGCTCTAGTAGTCCATATTCCATCTCAATTATTGGTCATCTAATGCGAGAGTCTCAGTTTGTTTAGGTTGTCAGATTTTCCTTCCTCCTATAATGTCACGCAATGCCCCCTTTCAGTTATTTGTTTGGTAAAGCCGATAAGTGTTTTCCACGCCAGTATCCTTGAGGCAGGGTTGGCATGCCGACGTCTCTTTACAGGCAGCAGGAGCTTTCTAAATATCAGTTAGTCTCTTTTAGCGCGGGGCAGGCTAACAACAGCTAACACTCCAGGATTGCTGCTGCAGGCCGCACTGATGTCAGGTCGCAGTTCTTGATTGCACCCTAAAACCACAGATTATATTTCTGGTTTCAGTTTGAGAGTGTGTTGGTGCATGCATGTGTGTTTAGAGAAAGGGTGTGGGATTATTTATTAGCTCTTCCAAAAGACTCAAAATACAATTCAGATTCCAAAGCTCAAAGTGCTGTTGTGCGTCATTAAGTGAGTGTGTTATTAAATGCCTACAACTCAATGGATCTCATTCATACAGCTTGGTCTCCAGTGTTCTCTCAAACCTTTCCTACCCATCTACCCCAAAAGCTGCAAGGGGTGGTTCTACCCTTTACAGATTTACAGACATACAACACAATTAAGAGACCACTCCAAATTGTTCTTAAATCTCAATCTCTCCATGTATGGCAGCCATTCTATTCCAGTGTCTGTTGAATTCCAACACAGAGAAATGTTGTCAGAGTTGAGAAATGTCAACTGCACTCCTTCTCATCATTGCCTCAATACTCTCCTTTTTTTTTATTTTTCTGGCTTTAATGTTCCGTATTTCTCGCTTGCTTTTTTCGTATTATCTCTATCTCTCTTTTTGGTTCATTTTAATCTCAAATCTAGAAAAAAATCTGTTTTCCATTGGCCATTTTGGCATACTTTCATGGTATTCATTTTGTTCCCTAAAAGTCTAATGAGACATTCATTTTTATTGGCTATACAAAGGAATGAATAAAAGCAAGTTGAATATGAACTTTATTGTATTTTGAACTCTATTTTAACACACACTTTCTGCCAGAAGTATATATTTTATCTGAGATGTCCCTACAGTCAGCAGTAACAGCAGTAACAGTTAAATAATAACAATTCCAACCGAGCATTTCTCTGTGCATGTGTATGTTGTGTCAAAGATGCTGTTGAAGAACAGTTTTTTCCAAACGCAGTGTGTGTTCAGAGGCATTTGTGGGTGCCTACTTATATGTCTGTGTTTTGTATGGTGGTGGGGATTACATCAAAGCCTTTGGTCAGTTCACATGTGCCGTGTCCCCGCTGTCGTCCAGAGGGTGACTGGGAGCCTGTTAGAGCGGTGTTAATGGACTGATGGTTGCAACGCCTCATTTAGTCAGACATGGAAAGGTGGAGTTAGCACCACTCTAAATGGGCTGTACCCTTTGCTCCCATAGGACCGACTCAGAGGCTAAACATTTTGTGATCATGACATTGTTGGATCGCTTGGCCTTGGCATCAAACACATTTTATTCATCCCATGTGGCTCTGTTGATTCCATTTAGCAAATTCTTAAAGCGTGACCATTACACATTGAGCGTAGGAGGGGTTCAAGGAAGTAAGAGAACAGCTAACTATTTACACCATAGACATGCTGAAAAGATTAAGATGTAATGAGCCACAATCAACTTTCATATATTTTTTTTTTTTTTTGATTAGTTGCTTCTGGTTTTTGTATAGATGCAACCAAAAGCACAATAGTAATGTGGGGTCTGTCCGCCCAATTCTCAAAGCAAAACATTTGTTTAAGAAAGGGGGAGCTAGCTGGTAATTGTCATCAAGCAACCAACATAGTCACTGAAGTGTTTGAATATTCTGTAAGTACTCACATGCCATGGTGCTTTCACAGACATATGCATTTGTTTCATGTTTTGGAGAATGTGATGGACTGCAGTTGAATATTAGTCTAGAGAAGCGTTGTCTTCAGTGTTTCCCCACTGGTCATGTATAGTGTGATCTCAGTGTTGGAAAATGCCATCCTTTTCCTTATGTATCCTTTGATTCATCCAAGAAGCCATTTCATCCATGTCTTGCATTTCCCCATTTTGAAGAACCAGGAATGCCCAAATCTCTGAGGCCACCTCTGATATACTATTTGGTCACCGTCTCAACTTTAGTCTAGTTCTGTCTTATACTGTTTGGACCTCTGTCTTTAACACACTTGACTGCCTGAAATATTTTAAACAAACCCACAAGCAAATGTCCCCTGAACTAAAGTAAACATAGTTCAAATAATTGAATTTGTGGTCGGGCACTCTAATGGCAGCTTTTACACATGTTTTAATCTTCTTTCTATCTCTCTCACAGCAAAGTGAATTCATCAAGAGATACGTTACTTTTAAATATGGCCAGCGACATCTGTTTTCTGTCTAATTATTTACCAGCAAAAGCTAAATTCCAGTTTATTGAAGGTTGGATGGCAAAGGATGGCGGTTGGAAGGAGTCCCTATACACTTGTAGAACTCCAGACCCAGACGGATGTGTTTCCATTAACCAGAGTTGAGGTTGGAACATTATAAACAATTAAACAATTACAGTAATGGGTTTTAACGCAGAAGATCTAAGCAAATCTGCTTTGAAATAGTCTTTTATAGATCCAAAGGCCTATAGTCATTTCATATCTTGCCGTTAACCCTTTAAACATTAACAACTTGACAGTCCCAGACGCTCTTCCCCTCTTTAGTTCCAGATATACCCACCAACAATACTATTTGTTGGCATTGGAAGTGTACTACGATAGCCAATAATTATCCCCTTTTTATTTTTCTCTCCTTTTACAACAACCAAACATGATTCATGCTGGTGCTCTGCTATGACACAAATAATAATGAGAAATCAATGCCATTATTAAGTATCCTGAAAGTAAACTATAGTGAGGGATGGGGATGAAAGCCAGGCAGCAGTGGGAGGAGTCTGGCTGGAGGAGGTCAGGGGTGAGGGAGTTTGAGTCATGGTGGCAGGCCGCAGGTTGGCAGGCTGCCTGAGAAGGGCACAGCTCAGTGTTCCACATGCAGGGCCAGCTGAGAACCAGGGACAGGTCATCCTTCACTAGCACACACTGATGCTGTATTCATTAAGGCTAGTAGATCTATTCATGATTTGTACATTTGATCAGAGTAGAGAGGAGATGTATGGACCTCCAATGCTACACTGCTACTACTATAAAGACAGCCTGATCTGTTAGATCCCCGTCAGTGGCTGGCTGTTCTGGGGCCTGTCTCTGCTGATGGATGGGAAAGACTAAGCAGTGTGAGGGAGGCGAGGGCTGGAGGGCGTGTGAGGAGCTGGGGTTTATGCTGAACCTCAGGGCGAGCGGCAGCCTGCAGGTGTTCCCCCCCCCACTATCCACCACCCTGACGTGCACCAGAGGGGGAGGGCTAGGGTCGGGTGGGCTTTATGATCACAGAGAAGACAATATGCGAGAGAGAGTGAGGGATAGCATGTGTTTTCCCCAGGCACGCCAGCAGCTGCGAGACAATGATTTATGCTTTTCTCAGAACTCTGGGATCTCAAAATGTTACATTTAATCAAGCATACTGAGAGCAGAGCAAATGTTAAAGATGTTCCTTATAAAGCCCTCCAGTTTTGATCTCTTTACCATTCCGTGGGAGCTGTGGGAATAGGGAAACAAAGTTATCTTTTATCTTAATTTAAACATATCGGAAGGAATTATAAAAGCTACATGGAATTAACCCTTGGAGAATTCCCCCCTGTACACTTATACTAACAATATGTAGTTCCCTTATAGATTAAACAACGTTTTCTTGAACACTGAACTACCTTTTAGTACTGTAACAACATATTTCTACAGTTGTAAAAGTAAACTGATTATTTCTATTGATAATAGGAATCACAAATGCACACATTCATTAGTACAGATTATTTTTAAATAGTATTAACATCTGCTGAGTTGCTATGTATATCTATTTGCATCTTTACTGATAAGGTGTGTTTGAACGTGTGCATGCATGTGTGTTTGTGTGTGTGTACAGTATTTGTGTCCACAGCAGTCAGAAGCAGCTGGGATCCTACACAATCTGGCCTGCACTAAAGACTAGTGACAGCAGGTGGGTATGAAGCGCCACCTGACTTTGATCTGAGCATTTCAAACAAACACACATGCATGCACTACACTCACTGAGTAGCACTCACGTGCACAGGCATGCATACACTTAGAAACATTTGCCACACATGATCTCTTTGCCTCCCCTCTGAAACCGTGGCCATTGAATGGGTTGAACTGACACCGTAGCTGGGGTGTGAATTTTGGGATCTCCCTTGGTAGCCTCCTCCATTTCAATCTTTCAAAGGCCTGCCGTACTTTCATATGTCCATCTATCATGCTCTTTCCCCTCCTTTGCATGTGTTCACTCACTCCATTGAGTGTTAAATCAACAGTCTGGCTTTGTCTCAGGCAGCAGCGTGATGGCTTTAAGCTGTTGGTCTGAATTTCCTCAGGCTGATAGACCTACACTAGACAAAATGGTTCTAATAATAGATTCATTTTTACATCTCTGTGAGAATGCACAAAAGAACATTTCTTTAGCTCGCTTTTTTTAGTAACGTGGCTTTCTGTGTAGCTGTCGGGAACCGAAATTACTTTAAAAAAATTAAGAGTCTATATATATATTATATATACAGTATGTGGTACAAAGGCTCCAGGTTTTGCAGCATACACAATACAATGGTCCCACACTCAATTTAGATTTCATTCAGGTAATGAAATTGGACCATAAGAGGTTGTTTCAACTGTTTATTTGTTTAACAACTTTGTAACTTCCTGAACAATCTGTTTAATCTTCAAGGCAGCCGCCCTCATCATGTCTTGTCAGTCAGTGTGTGTTAAGCAGAGCAGGTAATGTGGAGATTAGACCCAAGGGAACCCACTCAGAGCTTGGTATTGAGGTCAATCATGGCCCATTACTGGAGCTGTTTGTCTGTGAAGTGTCGGGCTACTTAGGCCACTCTCACAGTGCTTAAATCCTTGCTGGAGTGTGAGGCTGAGGGACAGGGATCGGGTACAAAGGGATAAGGGCTGAGGCTAGAGATGGGGTTGGGTTGGAGTGTGACTGGGGCTAAAGCTGCTGTTCAGGCTAGCCTCCACCCCTA